TGGGAACCACTGCCCTACTTGCTGATGGCGTGTTTTGTTTGATACACATATAGACACACAGGTGAGCACACATTCATCATTTATCAAAGGCCTGACAACGCAGAAGCATTTAAGAACAGTGATTATTTTTTCCTACACGGTTTGGACACCTGCTGACAGTGATGGAGCGCTCCATCCTAGCCAGATAGCAGAGAAAAGGGTGTGAGGAGGAGAAACAGAGACAGAGGTGGATTGACCCATTTTCTGGAGAGAGATATTCATTAAATTGCAAAACTCTATAAGGAAAAAAAGAAGGGAGCGTTGTGGGATCACAGAGGGCCAAGGAGAGGGGCAGAGGTAGAGGATCAGGACAGAACCTCACAGCGTAGACCTGTCCCCATAGTGACAAATCACCACAGCAACTGCTTCTGATGCTCGTCTGGGCTCGCGGCGGGATACGGTCCACCGACTGAGTCAGAGGCATATAAAGATATGCTGCTCAGACCTCACGCTGCGATCCCACGTGCACACGCCAGTGTACACGCTTTCAAAGCTGCCTGATATGCAGTACTGGTACCATGTACAATACTATCAATATCATACACTAGGGATTTCTTTACTTCTTTAATCTTTACTTTACTGGTATTTCTTTGGTGACTATGACCATCAGGTGACCTGAAAGTGTTTTTGTTTTTTTATTTTTAGAATTATAGAATTATAAGTAAAGATAGGATTTCTTATAATTAAATCACTTTAATTCATTGAAATTGCTTTAATCCCAGGTGTTTTTCTTATTGATCTCTAAAAAAATTGTTAAATTTTTTATATATATTTAATGATTTCATTAAACTTTCCAAATATGTAGTTGCTGTTTGGCTATTTTAAAAAAGCAGGTCCTGCAGTATCAATGCTGAGCTAAGCAATTATTATATTTGAACTGGAGAATTAGCATAAAGTAAATGAGCTGCTGAAACTAATTTAAATCTATAAATGAAATTCATTGGCTTTTAATAGGCCTCACATTACATTAAATATACATTAGTATTTGTTCCAAACTAGACGTTCAGCTAGATGAAAGATGAAATTTGAAATCTTTCCAGCTGTTTTAAAGACCGGTTGTTACAGCCAGAGATCAGTGTAACAATGACATGGTTGGTCAGGTTACATGATTACATCGATGGTTTAGATTAAAACACCAGTGTTAGGACATTTGACAAATAAAGTAGAAAAACCAGGACAGAGTTGAATCCATCTGGTCTTATACAAATCCACACTGCTTTTTTTTCTGAGCTGTCAATCTTCTGAAGGGCACAAATGTGTTTTCAGAGTTTGTCAGTGGAATTTCTTTTCTCCTTCTGCTGTATGTAGGTGATAAGATGATGTGAGAAATAATGCAGGGCCCACAGCTCTTACATTTAATGTCAAGTTTTATTTGAGTTCTATTCTTAACTTTTGCAAAACATGCACTCCTAGAGAGGCCTCAAGATCATTATCAGTTCAATATTGGTTAGAATTCCAGGATCGAACGTTGAAAACAACAACTATGACCTGCGCGATCCGATACCTGAGCCACATGCCGTAAACAGTGACACTGTAGTGTGACACTGACATTTTTTTAAAGTCTTCCAATTCTTTGTGAAACTGAAAATAGTTACAGAAAACAAACACAAATTGGTTGGAAAAACAATATACATTACATTTAAATTATTTATAGAATACACAAATATAAGATAAACATAGATAAATGTTTTCCCAGGCAAAAAGTGCAGTCATAATCTACTTGTGCACAGCTTATTGTGCAATTTCAATAGTGTTTTTTTTGCAACATAAGAAAAGAGTAAATTTTCCATGAATACACTCAGTCCGTCTTTATTATAGTCCTGCAAATACATGTATTTTCCAAGGACATATTCTGTTGTTGGTGAGTACAATACCCCGTGTTACAATGACAATAAAGACTATTATGTTTTATTCTGTGTAGTAGACTACTTCCAAATGCATCGTTCAAAAAGTTATTCTTTTTTTTTTCTATTGATTTCTTCTGACCGTTGTGTAAGTCCTGATTTTCTTATCATTTTGTTCAGTGTGTAGACTTTCTCTTCAGTGAATGTGTTTGTCTGGAAAATACTACTGCAGGAGGAAGGAGGGAAAACCTGTCCATTAAAAGAGACGTTTTGAATGAATCACTGCTCATTATCTCCTGTTTGTTCTCACCCGTTCTCTGGCTAAGATTTCACAGGCTGCTGATCTGCTGCCTGTGAAACGCTCAAGCAAAAATGAAGGTTCTGCAAGAGGAAGCCAGGAACAGGTAAATGTTTTCATTCTTTAATTTATACAATTCTGTGATGTCAGATTTAATCAAATTCTCTGTCAAAAATTGTACATTTCTGTGTGACTAAAAATTCAACAGGTTAAGAAACCCGCGTTTAAATCAAACAGTCTCAAGGAAAGTACAAAAAAAACGCAAAAAAAAAAAAAATCGTCTCAGTTTCTTTGGGTGAAGTTGATGACGTGAAGCTGAACACACTCTGAAGCAGCATGGACTTAATTATGAGGTCATTAAAATGCTCTTTAAGCTCCTGCCAACCACGAAAAAATGACTTGGTGGGCAGCATTTGGCCCACGGGCCTTGAGTTGGGCACATGGTCTGGTAAGAGACACAGTTACACAAGCAGATTAAAAACGATCAACCAAACAAAAAGAGAAGAGAAAAGATCCTTCTCCTCCTTTGTTTGACAACCTGGTGTCTGTAGGTTGAACAGAAACAATAATAGTTGAGCTCCTTAAGCTCCGAGGTTAAAAAAAAACAGAAATGCAGATTATTGAAACCTGTCTGTAACGGTGTCTTCTCTCATTTACAGATGGAACTGTTAGTGGTCCGAACAGGCTGATGTGGAGAAGCAGCACAGATGTTACAGCCACAGGTGGGAATTTCTGGCAGTTCTGGGACGTGCTGACAGTAAACCAGACCTATTTTAACATATTTTAGGGGAAATCCATCTTATTGGTGGAGAAAAATAAGATCAAAAATGTGTTTTTGTGTGAACCTAAAGCTCATTGATTCTAAAACAAAAAATGGGAAAAAAACAAAAGTTGTATTCTATTTATTTTATCATTTTGCTGAAGCCACATTTCAGTTTATTTAGGGTCCGGTAGTAAAACGCAGCTGCGAACACGGGCGTAAAAACCACATCTGCTGTGTCAGGGTCACCCTCAGACAAAGACGCAGCTAATCCCGCTGTGGAAGATGAACCCCTGTAAAACCTCTTTATGACCTGCTCCCGCCACAGTAAATACTCAATATTTTTAATATCCAATTTAAACGGGAGCGCAGGCTTTCAGCACGGCCATTAAAAACAGATACATTCAAGCGGCACGTAGATAGAAACACCATCCGAATACTGTCCCAGTATTTTGGTCTGTTTTTTTTTTTTCAGTTACTTAAATACTGGGGGGCACATTTTTATTACATATTTTCTCTTTGACCCTAACCAAAAATTTGGGAATACAGTCACGGGCCGGATTGGGTTGTGTGTTGGGCTGGATTTAGGCCACGAGCCACCAGTTGATGATCACTGGTCTGTGGGATGGTCTCTTGGTTAAGTTGAGGGCGCTGATGTCTTGGGGACAAAGATAAAGGACTTTTTGAAAACTCCTGTTGGCCCGGGATTTTCCTGGTTTTCGTTGATCAGAGTGATCAGAGCTGATTCTTGGACCAGGAAGTTTTTCACCTTTAATATGTTTTATTTCTAATGGAGTGAGCACAAGAAGCGAGTTAATCTAAAATAAAAAGTCATTGTCTGGATGCCAAGAGCTGCATATACAGCATAGTCATATTATTTTATCATTAGTTTTTTTTTATATGGCTGAATTTATTGATGTATTTTTATGAGCAGAGGCCAGAGGAGAAGGAAGATTATCACTTCACACTAGAACAGCCATAAATATGAGGACAGATATTACACCAGAGATGTGGACGACCTGAGCCTTGGACCCCATTAAAACAAAACAAACAACATCATAAATACAGGCCATAAAAGTCTGACATTAAAACCAAATGTGTTTGAGCGAGCTGGGGTGAAAAAGTCAACTAATGGTAAAGACTATTTAGAAATTAGTTTAAATATTTCAGTTTTAAATTAGTGAAACTTTTCAGGGTAGAAAAAAAAGTCAAAGAACAAGGACTTGTCGAGTTAATATTTTAGGTTCATAACAATTGATGTTTAGTGTCTCATTTAGCTGCTGAGTCGTTGAAGCGAGTACTTTGTATCAATTACTGTAATCCTAAAATGAATGTATTTATTTAGAACATCTCTGTGGAGACAAAGTACTTGTAGTGCTCAGCTAGTTCCAGAAATAACTTTGCAGAATCAAAAGCTAAGTACTTCGTTGTCAATGTTTATGAAAAAATATATATTTTAAACAAAGTTGAAATCTCTGTTTTCCGTAAACCTTTTGATATGATCTTGCGGGCCAAATATAATTACACTGCGGGCCAGATTTGGCCCCCGGGCCTGAGTTTGACACATGTGGTGCAGAACAAAGGAAATGTTCATCCGGTTCTTGATGAAACTCACTTTGAATATAAGGCTGAGGTGAACTCTCAAGGTTTCTACTATGGAAAACAATCGATCCACTGTGTTTTTTACACCGTCATATAGCAAAGACACAGAAAGAAAAATATATAAATATATAAGACAGAGGGTGAATATATTGATTATTGTGTGTGATTGACAGCTGGATTTTTTTACACACTGGACGATGTGGTTCCAATGAATAGTAAAGTATTCTAATTTAAAAAAAAAAAAATACTCCACGTGTGTGTGTGTGTGTCTGGACAAAACGTCTTTCAACATTACTTCCATTAAATCAAATTTTAATTCATAAAAAAAGCATTAAAGACCGTCGGTCGTCCCAGCGACTCATATGTACATTTACATGCTGTACATACAGTAGGGCATCGTTTTCATTTCATCCCTCGGGTTTTGCCCTTGACTGTTCAGTGTACCGCAAAGATGTTTTGTTTGTGCAAAACAACCAACGAACATGCAAAGGGGTTTTCTTAAGAACCCCAAGCCCTGAGCTCCAGCTTCACTGTACGCATCAGTCCACTGAGCAGTGACCATGGCGTTCAACATCTATGTTTTTGTTGTTTTTGCTGCTGCTGAGGCCAACATAGGGCAGCACGTTTTTATTAGGGACAACAAGAACTGGTGGGAGGCTCGAGAATACTGTCAGGAAAAGCACGCTGATCTATCCATGGTCCTCAGCGAGATTGACCAGAATAACCTTTTGGCAGCCGCAGGTTCCCATGATCCAAAAGGATGGATTGGTCTTCGTCGAAATTGCCATAATATTTCCAACTGGAGATGGCTAGGACACAGACAAACCCTCACCTACACAAACTGGGCTCAAGCACCTGATGATTCCAACATCAAAGACTGCAGGGGAACTATGACTTCTAATGGACAGTGGGAAGATCGTAACCCAGATGACAAGCTGCATTTTTACTGTTTCAGCGTCAATGTGGTACAACCCCCAATGACCTGGGAGCGTGCTCTGGAGCACTGCAGAGAAACGGCCACTGATCTCGGCAGCCTGGTCTCCAAAGAAGAACGTATACAGGCCCAGAATGCCCTCCAGAGAGACTCCATCACAGACCCAGTTTGGGTCGGCCTGCGATATCTGGGTGACCGGTGGATGTGGATGAACAGTGACCCGATGGCGATTGAAGAGTGGACAGAAGACACCCTCATCAAGCCCCAGTGTCCAGGGAAAAACCATTGTGGTGCTTTGACTAAAAACAGGATGTGGGTGAACGAGGACTGTGAGATGGAACTACACTTTATCTGCATATGAAACGACTACCACGGTTACTACCTCCAGTTAATCTCTAGAGAACATTTGTTAATGCTTAAAATCTATAAAGCTTGAATTTTTCCTGACTTTAGTTTTCTTTTTTTTTTCTGTCGTGACTCTGTCCTATATAAAAGTTGTGGGTGGACAACTTTAGTTGAACTGAATAATATAGATAATCAATAGATAAGCTTGAATATATAATTTTCTCTGTAAAGAAAATGTGTTTTATTGTTGCAAAAAAGACAAGGGGTTTGTAACCTTGAAATGAAATCACTGAAACCTAATATGACTGTAGTATGGACTGAAAAAAAATTGAAACATTTGTAGAATGTTGTAATAAAATTCTCAGAGCTCTATTTTAAATCATATTAAGTTTATTTTTCTTTTTATTAGTCTCTGTCAGCCCGGCATATTTTTAATAAAGAACTTGGTGTGTGGTCAAACTGTGTTGATCTCTCTGTTCTAACAGCATGCTGCTCAAACGGTCTCCTATGAATCCTCTCCATCATATTTGTATTTATTCAACCCAGTATTTGGGTTCAAACTCAAACTCTTTTCTGTTTGTCCTGTGCAGTAGTTGACGTGTTGGTGATTGGCAGAGGGAGTGTTGGACGTACAGAGCACATAAGGAGGCACAGAGAAGAAGGGGGTAAAAAGAAGTAAGTTGTACATTAATCATCTGTTCTTGATTTTTTTTAAATATATCCTAATTTTAATAATTAAGTAACTTTAATGTATTCTAATCATCTGTTCTTGATTTTTTTTAAAATATATCCTAATTTTAATAATTAATAATTAACTTTAATGTATTTCCCATTTTGACCTTGTACAATATTAAATTAATGGGGAAAATGGTGCTGATTAAAGTCACCCCTGAAGTCGGGACATTTGGCTTGTTTGACATCAAGACTTTTCTTATCGACACAGTGAAAATACATCATCACCAGCGCTAACGTTAGCTCTTACTGTCCCGGTATTGACAAACAATGTAACAATAGACCAGACCATTGTTTCCCGGTTGCGACCCTCAGCTGGGTCGCAAGAGCTTTCTTGGGGG